TATTGATACACAAAAATGGACTTTGGCGTGTATATGCTACGCGATGGGTAGGTTTAGGGTTGTGGGGTATGCGTATCATATGTACGCGAGAACTGCTTATCATATGCATGCCAACAAATTTCGTATCATATGCACGCGAGAACTGCGTATCATATGCACGCCAACAAATTTCGTATCATATGCACGCCAAAAATTCGTATAATATATGCACGCGAAAACTGCGTATTATATGCACGCCAAACACATATGCACGCCAAAGTCCATTTTTGCGTATCAATACCACGAGTTTTCGTTTTTATTTGGCGTACTATTTATACGCATTTTCATGAGACCGGGCTCAAAAAAGTAGACTCATTATGAGTGAAATTGTTTAATTTGAATTCACAGCATTGCTAATATGACCTCTCTTCAATTAAACTATGGGCAATTAAATATGTAAATATCCATATGCCTGTATGTAAGTCATAGGATAAATACCTTTCAGATGAATTTCTTTTACTGGGATTCTGCTTTGTCTGTGACTGGTTATTCAATTATTCAATTGTCAAAAGACAATTTTAAATAGAATAGTTGATTTATTTTACATTAATGACACTGTGAAAATATATATAAATATAAGAATGATATCATTTATACATTATGTAAAAGTTTAGCTGGGGTTTAGTGCGATGGCCTCTTTGAATGATTTTACATTTTGTGACATAATTTTGCAAATGTTTCTTTTTATTCTCTTTATTAATAACACATTGGCTGATGCATCATCATCCTGCACACGCTAACCTTCTTATATCTAATTATGTAACAATTTAAAAGTAAATGCACATTGTTCTTGAGGGGAACATCTTCCCCATCTTACCTTAATATTAACAGTTTTATGAAATATTTTATACAGCCATAGCTGAATGTGGAACACTGCCCATAATGTTAATAGCTGTTAATTAGACAACACTGGCTGTGTGTTATGTGGTCTGTTGTAGTGAGGACATAATGACAGACAGATAGACAGAGATTGTAAAGTACAGGTGAAGTCCAATAGCAGGACCATTGACGCTAGAGGGCGCAAGAACACAATTTGAACCAACGCTTCAGTGTTCAGAGCTGTTAAAGGGATAGTTCACCCAAAAATGAAAATTCTGTCATCATTTACTCACCCTCAAGTAGTTTCAAACCTGTATGAATGTCTTTGTTCTGCAGAACACAAAGGAAGATATTCTGAAGAATGTGGGAAGTGTTTGATTTTAAAAGGATTTATGCTTTTGTCTAAATATGGATATTTGAGCCTAGACCAGTGAGATTTCTCCAGAGGTAGCAAATGTTAGGCAGAACAAAGCAGACGACTGTTGGTTTACACCGTTTATATATATATAAAAAAAATCAGAATTAAAAGACTTTTGCGTTTATTTCTAAATATAACTTTTAAGGATAAAATAACGGATTAGAAATGGCCTGATTGGAGTTATGAAGTGTTTTTGGGTCGGTTAACCCGGCAATTATGGCTAGAAATATTAACCCATTATTCTTTAAAAGTTTACTCTGAATGCAAGAGAAAATTCATAAAGAGCGCGCTAAACCGACGCTCGCGAAATGAAATCGCGTTACCATAGCAACAGTAGCCTACGCTACTCGTGCGCTTTTCTTTTAAAACGTCAATATTCGCGTAAACAAAAATACTGTAATTATTTATTACACGTATCGCAAGTCGGTTGCTATAGAGACGATAAATTACTGACATAAATACTAGAGCGGAAAAAAGTCGCCACGACGGAAAGTCGCTGAATAATTCGCACACTGAAAAATGAAGCATATCATGATAATTTTTATTAACATTATTTTATTCAAGTTCATCTTTAAAACACCAGTGGGACATGAAGCAAAACTGTCTGAACTTTATAGGCTCAGTTATTCAGACACCAACAGCACAGGCCTGTATCTTGGGAAATATCGTTAAATGTTAGGATAGCCTAGCTGCTATTGATATGTTAAATTAGTGATAATTAAAAGTAGGCAATGGCTTTAAATAACGCAGTTTGATTGTTAGAAATAATGTTATTTCGTGTGTATGTAATCTAATGTAGCCTATGTATGTCGTATGTGAATTAAAATGATAGTGATCTCGATCGCGAATAATTATATTAATTTTAATTTTATATAAAGCAATATAAATAGCCTAATCTACATATAGAAATAAATCGTTTCTCTCAGATGTGAAGAGGGAAAAAATAAAAATTAATTCCCCTAATGTAGGCTATCCTATACATAAAACGGGAAAGAAAAATAAATCTCATGAAATGTTCAGGAGGAAGGCATATTTCATCTACAGGAGACGTAAATCAGCCTGTCATAATTAGAGAAGAGAAGAATAAATATGAGGAAAGTAATAAAGATACAAACTCCCCCTTTATCTTTTTTTCTAGTTCCTCGCAGGTTTATTGCCCTGAGATGTCTGCCTGCGAAATGAATCTGCGCGGATCTGAAACACAAAAGATTCTCCTTATGAATTTTACATGGATATTATGCGCAGAGAGATTAAATCATCTTTTATCTGGGTCTTTATTAATCATGCAGATAATGTCATGAAGCTAAAAGCAGCGCAGTTTTCATCGCAGCTGCGCGAGAAATGAAACGATTCTTTGTTAAATATCTGACTCGAGATTATAAATATATTGTCCCGCTTTCACAGCTGAATGGTTTGAGAATTTAAGACAAAAGCAATTCAATAAAACACGATTTAAAAAAGCGTAAAATCAAATGTAACGAGTAAATATCCGTTGTTTAAAGAACATAGACATTTTAACATTTTAAGTTAAAAAGTTACATTATTTTTAATTATAATATTCATTTTAGTTATAAAGGCACTTTCGTGATTGATATGCTTGATGGACCTATATAAATTCTTGTAATAAATAGAAACAAAAAAACTTAATATGGTTACATGCTGATTGTTTTGTTTATAGCCTATAGGTTTATTATTTAAAATATGATGACGAAAAATGTTAAAATCTTATATATTAAGTTTTTATGATGATTTATTATAAAGTCGGTTAACCCGGCAATTATGGCTAGAAATATTAACCCATTATTCTTTAAAAGTTTACTCTGAATGCAAGAGAAAATTCATAAAGAGCGCGCTAAACCGACGCTCGCGAAATGAAATCGCGTTACCATAGCAACAGTAGCCTACGCTACTCGTGCGCTTTTCTTTTAAAACGTCAATATTCGCGTAAACAAAAATACTGTAATTATTTATTACACGTATCGCAAGTCGGTTGCTATAGAGACGATACATTACTGACATAAATACTAGAGCGGAAAAAAGTCGCCACGACAGAAAGTCGCTGAATAATTCGCACACTGAAAAATGAAGCATATCATGATAATTTTTATTAACATTATTTTATTCAAGTTCATCTTTAAAACACCAGTGGGACATGAAGCAAAACTGTCTGAACTTTATAGGCTCAGTTATTCAGACACCAACAGCACAGGCCTGTATCTTGGGAAATATCGTTAAATGTTAGGATAGCCTAGCTGCTATTGATATGTTAAATTAGTGATAATTAAAAGTAGGCAATGGCTTTAAATAACGCAGTTTGATTGTTAGAAATAATGTTATTTCGTGTGTATGTAATCTAATGTAGCCTATGTATGTCGTATGTGAATTAAAATGATAGTGATCTCGATCGCAAATAATTATATTAATTTTAATTTTATATAAAGCAATATAAATAGCCTAATCTACGTTTCTCTCAGATGTGAAGAGGGAAAAATAAAAATAAATTCCCCTCATGTAGGCTATCCTACATAAAACGGGAAAGAAAAAAAAATCTCATGAAATGTTCAGGAGGAAGGCATATTTCATCTACAGGAGACGTAAATCAGCCTGTCATAATTAGAGAAGAGAAGAATACTAATGAGGAAAGTAATAAAGATACAAACTCCCCCTTTATCTTTTTTTCTAGTTCCTCGCAGGTTTATTGCCCTGAGATGTCTGCCTGCGAAATGAATCTGCGCGGATCTGAAACACAAAATATTCTCCTTATGAATTTTACATGGATATTATGCGCAGAGAGATTAAATCATCTTTTATCTGGGTCTTTATTAATCATGCAGATAATGTCATGAAGCTAAAAGCAGCGCAGTTTTCATCGCAGCTGCGCGAGAAATGAAACGATTCTTTGTTAAATATCTGACTCGAGATTATAAATATATTGTCCCGCTTTCACAGCTGAATGGTTTGAGAATTTAAGACAAAAGCAATTCAATAAAACACGATTTAAAAAAGCGTAAAATCAAATGTAACGAGTAAATATCCGTTGTTTAAAGAACATAGACATTTTAACATTTTAAGTTAAAAAGTTACATTATTTTTAATTATAATATTCATTTTAGTTATAAAGGCACTTTCGTGATTGATATGCTTGATGGACCTATATAAATTCTTGTAATAAATAGAAACAAAAAAACTTAATATGGTTACATGCTGATTGTTTTGTTTATAGCCTATAGGTTTATTATTTAAAATATGATGACGAAAAATGTTAAAATCTTATATATTAAGTTTTTATGATGATTTATTATAAAGCATTGTTTACATTGTCGCTATCGCAGTTGAAATCATCACATTGAATTCTACAGCCTATTCGCAAATAGTGTGGTCGCACGTTGTCAAACTATGTCGTTGTTGCCTGAACGAGTTATTTCTGCATGATCTAACCTCTAAAATAATTCGCATGGGGTCACTTAATTTGTCTCAGGAATTTTAAATGATATTTTTTGACTTTGAATTGAGATATGCAGCTTGTTTTTGCTAAACATTTTATTAGTGCATATCTCATGCACTAGCCTAATAAACATCATGCACATCTTTTATACAAATAATTCTTGCTGTCTGCTTGTCCTCAGAACAGCTGGTGTTGTAGGCGGTTCTAGCGTCACATGCAGCGCGCGGACTCCTCAAGAGGAGCACAGGACTCGTAAGCACTCAGTGAGGAGCTCACAGCTCACGCGCACCTCCCGCTGCTGGATTATCAGAGCCGCTTCCCGGAGGATCAGGAAGCTCGCGCTGGACGCTTTTCATATCGTTTCTCTCGAAGGATCCAGTTGGAAGAACCGTCACTGAAAAACATGCATGTTTTTTGCTCTCGTCTTGTAGAATAAGCAAAGCGAGACTAGATAGTTTACTTTTAGTTTCTGTCTCGTCACGGTCCGCCTGCTGCTGCTGCTGCTGCTGCTTCTGCGCTTCTTCTGGACACTGCGACAGGTCAGCAGAGAGCCGCTGTCCTGCAACACATCAGATATGCTGGACGGAATCAAAATTGAAGATCAGTTCAGAACAGGAGCGGAGTCTTTGGGAGTGATGCTGGGTGAGTTTCGCACCATCACAGAAACAAACGATGGGTGATATATTTACATCGAGGTTCTCACTGACACTCGTCTAACTAAACGTCTAAATTAAAGTCAAAAATAGGATTGCGTATGACACCAATTAAAGTACATTTTACCGGTCAGATCAGATAAAGGTGCACCTTTTCGTGTTTTTACAGCGCTTGTAAATTTCCTATGAACATTACGCATACTGTTATTAAAAAAAATAGACTAAATATGTTTATTATAATGGATTGCTGTAGCAATAGCGATGTGTAATTAAAAACAGCTTCACAAAATAAAATTGTTATCGGTGTTTCATCTACAAATCAGTTGTTTTGGAGCGAATGTGTAATGGAAATATGAGTCATATTTTGTATACTGCCACTTAAAGGCATTTATTTTGTTTTTTTGGTAAAAAAACAAAGAACAAAAACGTTGTATTAAATACTAACAACCAAGGCAGAAAATGTAAAACAAATATTTCGTTTAATAGACTATATTTTCAATGTACTTGCGTGTTCATTCAAAATTAACACAGTAAAAGTGTTTTTTTTTTTTTTTTGAAGCAAGTAAATTAGATTTAATATTCTTTGGTAAAACATAATTTAACATAAAATATTTCATTTATTTTTATTTGTAGCCTATTATTATTATTTAAAAAAAAATACAATTTCGTGTGTTAAATAAGGCTAAAAGTCGCAATTTACCTAATTACGTCGTCAACAAAATAATTGTTTTAAAGTGTCGGATAGAAATAACCCCTTAAAGTAACAACTGCGCATTTTCACTCTGATTATTAATACTTAAAGAAACAATATTTTTCAGTGTATTTTAGAAAACGAGTTCATACATGTATCTCGCATTTATTTGTTTATGCGTTAGATTTGTATTATTATTATTATTATTATTATATTTTTTCTTTAATTGTCCAGTGGACGTATCTGATGTGTATCGGTTGTGTGTTGTCAGGTTCAGACTGCGTCCATCAGAGTGTATGTGAAGGATGTCACAGACCGATCTCTGATCGCTTCCTCCTGCGAGTGAACGACAGCTCGTGGCACGAGGAGTGTCTGCAGTGCTCGGTGTGTCAGCAGCTTCTCAGCATGAGCTGCTACTCCAGAGAGCAGAAACTCTACTGCAAACACGACTACCAACAGTAAGAGCGGATTCATTCATCTCATGTCATGTGCGTCATTTCAGCTGCGCGGAGCGTCAGTTTGCGCTTTTAATAATCAACACAAATTTTTAAAGGGAATATTTCCAAGCAAATATTTACAATTTTTGATTTACTTTTTTCCCACAAGGATTTTATGCATAGGCTATAGCCTATAATATTTATCGATATAGCCTATTAGGTCTATTGGTATTTCGATAACCTATTATCATTTTAGTGTTTTAGCAAATAACGATAACGGCAATAAGAACAAGAATTATTATTATTATTATTGGCTTATTATTATTATTATTATTAGTAGGCTATACTTTTGCACGTATTGTTAACGCAAACACTGCATAAAGCGTACAAATATAGGCCTAGATTCATTATTTGTGTGTTAAAGTACAATAAAAAATAAATCATTCTAACAATGAGAATTGCGATATAATGCTAAATAAATAATAATAAATAAATCTCGTTCTTCCTGCCGTTTTCGTTAATGTGTGTGTGTGTGTGTGTGTGTGTCAGTAGTCTATGCAGAAATCACAGAGCTCGTGGTGTGTTGTACAGTAAGTGAGAGTCCAGTGTTCAGTGGCTTGTCAACAGGTTCTTTTGACTTTTTGCCCAAATCCTTTGAAAGCCTCTTCTTCACTCATCGCGACATTATCGCGTTGTTAGACATCGTCTGACGTCACGGCGTCTCATTCGACAAGACATCGAGCAGTTTTTTCACAAGGCCTCCTAAGCAAGTAGAACTATTTCTATATATAATCTGTCTTTTTAATTACTTTTAAGAGTGATGTGTGTTCTGGAATTCCTCTGTTTTTGCACGTCAACCACCCAGACTTTATCATTTCAGAATTGTGATTAAAAAAGCCGCACTTCTTTTTTTCTTTGTATAGATTTGCAGGTAAAATGCTGCTAGTTAACTTGCTGTTGCAGAGTTCAGAGCTTATCTAGCTTTTACACGTCTATACTATTATAGGATAGATTCCCAGCTAACAAGCATATGCTCTAAGACGTTATTTCTGAAACGTTCCATATGTCCAGTTTTTAAAACGTTTATGCGAACCTGAAGGGAACATTCCATTGTAATCATTTTCCAAACAGTATTAGAATGTTACTTTAGAATGTTCTCTGAACATTCTGAAACAAGTAGTAACATTTAAAAAGTGTTAGACAAAAAATTCCAACTAAAACGTTTCAGAAAAAAAAAAAACATTCCATGAACAATGTATAAATAGCGTTTTTATTCCAACGTTTTGAGAACATTATTAAAGTTTGAACTAATGTTCTATTAATGTTACTGGAAGAACATCTACTATAGACACAGTTTACACTGAGATAATTGTAGCACAATTGTAGATTTATATTTATTTGTCTCTTACACAATTTTATACCAATGCAAAGCAGTCAACAAACTACATATCCGTCCCCAAACTGTATGAAGTGGCTTTAACAGTGTGTTATGTGTAAACGGCGTGTTATTTGTAGTATTTCTAAAGCAGTGATGAGGTACTTAGTGCTCTTAATTCACACCCGGCCTGCTTTTTATGACTCTCATTTAAGAGAGATTAACAAGCACCACAGATAACCACAAAACACACTCACACACACACACACACACACACCTCCACGCTTAACTTGCTCTAATTGACAGACGCTCATGTAATGAGTCAAACAGTAAAGCTCTCTGCACTGTCACTTATGGAGGTGTATCTAAATTTAATAACTCATCCAGTATGCTGAAATAAGTCTGCAATTTTTACATTACAATGTTTATGTTTCAGTGTTAGGTTTTTGAATGATAAAACAGTAGATATAGTGTTCAATATGAAGTAGGCTACTTGGACACTTTATGTCAGATGTTAGTGGAACATGCTCATACTGTAGTTAATGTGATGAGCTTCATTTAAGTGAGAACTAGAGGTGTTTTGTGTGTGTTTTACTGTCCACAGCACTGCAGACGCACATATTGTCATCGTCTGAAGGGACAGAGAGTGATGTAATGATTTTCAAATGTGCAATAGCAGAAACATCCTCCGAACATCGCTCTGCACCATGCTTGGTATGTTGAGAAAGTTTGTAGTTGTGTGATTGATTGAACCTCGGGTGTGTTATTGGGAGAGAAAGATTTTCTGCCATTCGTGGTGGAACATGTGTGACGTTTTGTGTTGATTTCACACTCCGCTCATGACATGATACGACATGCTGAAACTTAATATAGTTTAACAGCATATTTTGTCCCATAATTGCCAAGATCATAGAGATTCAGTGTTGCTAATTTTACAGGAGATTCTCTTTAGTGGTTTAGCATGAAAATCCAGTGTATTTAATATTTAGATCTGACAGTATGGAACTCAACCCGGCCATTTTTTAACTGTTTTTAAAACTTTTTTCTTGGTTATGCATTGATTTTATTTACTTATTTAATTTTTTATATGTATTATAATATAATCATATATGTTTAAGATTTTGATCTGACAGTATGGTGACAGTATGCTTTTTTGCATTATTAATTATAATTTCTACACATGATTTGTTTGTGATTTTGTTGCATGTTGCTGTAAAACAGTTTATTGATGGGTATTGTAGAATATTTTGCACGCACAATTTAGTTTTGACTAGAAATGCTTTAAAGAACAAGTTTTCCATAAGCTCGTTCATGGCAGAAACCCAATCCCAAAGGGGCTGTAAACAGAGCTATAGGCCTCTGTATATGAGAGAAAAAAAATATTTGCCACTTTACAGCCACTGGTGGACCCTTATGATACATATACATACACACAAAGTCTCTTTCAAAACTCATTAATGGCTTTTTTCGTGGCTTTGAATTCTCTGCTCAATTCATTAAACAGTTTTGGACCGTCAGTGCTTTTGGTCAGGTCTAGCTGAAGTTTTCTGTTCTAAGATACTGAGAGCAGGAATTCCTCAACTCTCCTCTCTCCTCTTTCTATGATTAGATTCTGATGCTCAGAGAAATATCACAGTTTACAGAAACAACAAACACACTTATTAGCCCTTCAGAAATGACGTTCACTTCTCTAGCCTGTTCCATCATTGGCCCCTAAAGTACTTGTTCACTTACTGTAAGTCAGAATTTAAAATCACTGCATTTACAAAATATCAAACACATGCAGTTCTTAGAACTAACTTCACTTTTCTACACCATTTTTGCTCATTTACTTTTAATCAACTGCTGTGGCAGTGCTTTTTAGTGGGTGGATGCATGAAGTCAAACCTGTTGACAGTTTGTTTTTTAATGCAATAACATTCATATTTATTAAAACACACTTATAAAGTGTGTTTTAATCCACATACTTTTAGGAGACTGGGTTACTGTGTTTAAAACGATACATAATCTGTAGACATAATTTTGAGTGATTCCCATTATTTTGTGTTGACAAGCAGATTCCTGTTCTGCATATACTAACAAAGCTTGACAAACATTTACATGTCAGCTTTCCAATGAAAAGCTCATTTAAATATGGGAGAAAAGACAGTGCCATATTGTACAACAAAAACATTCACTCTTTGTGTCATTGGCATAATTCAAAAGATGTCAAAATAATTTAGACAATTCTTGTAATGTGTTAATGAAACATTAAACAGCAGAGATATACAGTATTTTAATATTATCCATATTAGATTATGCAAAGAGTTTGAAACAGCCAGACTTGAAACAGGGTAATTAATAGATCAAAATAAATGTAATAATGTCATGTTTAGGATTGTGCTTGTCTCCCACATGTACCTTATTCTTTTTATTTTAAACCTTTTTATAGAGGCATTTGGTGAGAGTGTGCACTAATGCATGAGCAAGAAACAATTTGCTTGGGAAATAAAAACCAGAACATTTAGTCTGATCAGATAAGCTGATGTGCTGGCAAAATGTGTTAAGAAACAATAACTAAACAAAGCATGCAATATCCTATAAATGTGATAACGGATGTGTGTGAGCGCAGGCAGGAGCTGAAGGTGTGTTTGTGTGTGTCTCCTCTGGCTCATCGTGTGTGTGTGTGAGATCGTTCACTCTGCACACTGTGGCCTCCTTTGAGAGAGAGTGTGAAATACACTCAGATACACACACAAAACGTCTCTGTTTTTTTCTTTCTTTCTTTCTTATATCTATATCTATGGCTATCTAAAATGATATATCTCACACACAGACACACACACACACACACTCACACTCACACTCACACTCACACACACTCATACACACACACACACACATATATATACACACACACACACACACACACACTTCATATGGCCCTGTAGCATTTTGATTTACTTACTTTTCCATTAATAAGTGAGTTAATATGTTTGTGATCTGTCAGTAATGCTGCTTGGAAACTATTGTGCGTTTAAAACCAGATTAGAGTGTTTCATCAACTTTGCAGTTTGGATTTTTTGGCATTGGATGTTTTTGCTGAATTCATTTCGGTGTTATTCTGAATCGGTGTGTCTTTGTCCACATCTCTGTGTTGCTCCGTGCGTCTCTGTGGTTTTCTGGGCTGGAATGTCTGTTCAAACATCACCTCTCGCTGCTGCTGCTGTCACCCAGCTGTGAGGAGAGGTTGGCAAGGCTCTGTCAAGTGCTTCCACCCAGGTGCTGTGTACCTGCAGGCTCGCTCTCGCACCCTCCTCTCACATTCTAGCCATGTGTGGGGAGCAGGGCTCTGCGCTCGGAGCATTTGAGGAGAGAGAAACTCTCAGGAACATGTGAGAGTCTGCAGACATGCAGCGGCTCGGTGTGGCACGTCTCACGCCAGCATATTCCCCATGATGACTTACAGCATTTGCAACCCACTTTTTTACCTCTTCTATGAGATCTATGAGATCTTGCAGCAATGAGATTAAATGGAGAGCAAGGCTGCAAAAATATAGTAAAAACAGTAATATTGTGAAATATTATTAGTATTTTAAATAACTGTTTTCAGTTTTTATATACTTTAAAATGTAATTTATTTCTGTGATCAAAGCTGAATTTTCAG